ACCGCTTGCTTTGGATATTCAGGCCTTGGCCAATCGATTTGTGAGGTTGGACATTTCTGAGCCTAGTAGAGTGTTAGCTTGCACGGTCGCTCGTTCTTCATTATTGGAGCGTATCCGTGATCGGCAGTTTGATGATCCCCATTTGTGTGTCCTGAGAGACACGGTGCAGCGTGGAGGTGCCACGAAGGTGACCTTAGATGATGATGGTGTTTTGAGATTGCAGGGGCGAGTTTGTGTGCCCAATGTCGATGGGATTCGAGAGTTGATCTTAGCGGAGGCCCATAGTTCTCGGTATTCTATTCACCCGGGCGCCGCGAAGATGTATCAGGACTTGCGGCAGCATTATTGGTGGCGTAGGATGAAGAAAGATATTGTTGCATATGTGGCTCGATGTTTGAACTGTCAGCAGGTTAAGTATGAGCATCAGAGGCCTGGTGGTTTGTTTCAGAGGATTGAGCTTCCCGAGTGGAAGTGGGAGAGGATTACCATGGATTTCGTTACTGGACTTCCGATGACTCGGAAGAAGTTTGATGCTATTTGGGTCATTGTTGATAGGCTGACCAAGTCAGCGCATTTTATTCCTGTTGCAGCCACTTATTCATCGGAGAGGTTAGCTGAGATCTACATCCGAGAGATTGTTCGCCTTCATGGGGTGCCGGTATCTATCATTTCGGACCGGGGTACGCAGTTTACCTCGCGCTTCTGGAGAGCAGTTCAGCAGGAGTTGGGCACCCAGGTTCAGTTGAGCACAGCGTTCCATCCTCAGACGGACGGCCAGTCCGAGAGGACTATTCAGATATTGGAGGATATGCTCCGAGCCTGTGCCGTTGATTTTGGAGGCTCGTGGGACTAGTTTTTTCCTTTAGCAGAGTTCGCCTACTACAACAGCTACCAGTCCAGCATTCAGATGGCTCCATATGAGGCGTTGTATGGTAGGCGATGTCGGTCTCCAGTCGGATGGTTCGAGCCGGGAGAGGCTCGGTTATTGGGTACAGATTTAGTTCAGGAGGCCTTGGATAAGGTCAAGATCATTCAGGACAGGCTTCGTTCGGCTCAGTCGCGGCAAAAGAGTTATGCGGATCGTAAGGTTTGAGATGTAGCTTTCATGGTTGGTGAGCGGGTCTTGCTCCGAGTGTCGCCTATTAAGGGGGTGATGAGATTCGGGAAGAAGGGCAAGCTTAGCCCTAGATTCATTGGCCCATTTGAGATTCTCGATCGTGTGGGAGAGGTGGCTTACAGACTTGCCTTGCCGCCCAGCTTATCAGCCGTGCATCCAGTGTTTCATGTGTCCATGCTTCGGAGGTATCACGACGATCCAGCCCACGTGTTAGATTTCAGAACTGTCCAGTTGGACAAGGATCTGTCTTACGAGGAGGAGCCGGTAGCTATTCTAGACCGGCAGGTTCGACAGTTGAGGTCGAAGAGTTTTCCTTCGGTGCGTGTCCAGTGGAGAGGTCAGCCTCCTGAGGCATCGACCTGGGAGTCCGAGTCTTATATGGGAGCCGTTATCCTCATCTATTTCCCGACTCAGGTACTTCTTTCTTTTGTCCGTTCAGGACGAACGGTTGTTTTAAAGGTGGAGAATGTGACGACCCAAAGGGTCATCACCTATTTTCTCTTTCATCTCGTGCTTCCGAGGCCTTGAAAACCTTATTTTTACTTGCCTCGATTTACGTGCGCAGTCCGGGCGCGTAGCCGAAAAGATTATATGTTAAATTCTGTGAAAAATTTCAAAATGTGGCTTTAAAATGATTAAAGTTGACTTTGGTCAACATTTTTGGTAAACGGACCCGGACCCGTGATTTGACGGTCCCGGAGGGTCCGTAGAAAAATATGGGACTTGGGCATATGCCCGGAGTCGAATTCCGAGGTCTAGAGCCCGAGAAAAGAATTTTTTCGTTAAAATTGTTTTTCTGAAGTTATTAAGGAAAATGAAAATGAATATTGATTAAAAGACTGTGGTATCGGGCTCGTATTTTGGTTCCGACGCCCAGTACAAGTCATATATATGGCTTAAGCGCCTTCTGTGAAATTTGGTCGAAATCGGACGTCATTTGATGTGTTTCGGACCTAAATATCTAAAAATGAAAGTTTATGAAGTTTGATGAAAAAAGTGATGATTTTGAGGTTTGATTCCTCGTTTATGATGTTATTTTGGCGATTTAATCGCATGGTTAAGTTCGTAGGATGTTGTTGAGTTAGTGTGTGTGTTTGGTTAGGAGACCCGAGGGCTCGGGAGTGTTTTGGAGGTGTGTCGGAGTGGTTTTTGAACTTAGAAAAGTTGCAGAAAATCTGCAACAGGTGCCCAGGTGAATCCTTCTTCGCGTTCGCACTCCCCCTCACGCGTTCGCGATGCTTCATTTTTGTTCCTTCATCGCGTTCGCATCACTAGTTCGCGTTCACGTAGAGTTATGGAACTCTGAGGGCCCAGCCCTCTTTTCTTCTTCGCGTTCGCAATGGCTGGACCGCGTTGACGTAGGTCCCCAGCCCCTACCCATCGCGTTCGCGTACAGGCCAACGCGTTCGCGTAGGCCAATCTCTTGGACCCCAGCCAATTCCTTCTACGCGTTCGCGTTTCACCTTCCGCGTTCGCGTTGACCAATCCTATTTACCCTTCGCGAACGCGACTCTCTTCACGCGAACGCGAAGGGCAAAGTTTTTCCCAGTTATATTAAATTTCAGAACAGTAGCTACGGGTTTCTTTCAAAAAATACACGAGCTCTCTTCTCCCCCAAGCACTTAGAAGTCCATTGAAGCCCCTTTTCTTCAAGATCACTTGGGTTAGTAAATTCCAACTTGTTTTCTTCATTTTCCATCATTAATTATTGAATTCCTAAGCTTAAATCATGTAGATTAGGGTGGAAATTGGGGGAATTGGGTAGAGTTAGGGCTTTTCAACTTTCTTTGATTTAGACCTCGTTTTGGGGTCGAATTTGAAAACATTTTGTATATCCGGGCTCATGGGGAAATGGGTGACATGGAATTGGTTCGAACCTCGGGTTTTGACCAAGCGGGCCCGGGGTCGATTTTGGAATTTTTGGGAAGGAAGCTTAGAAATTCATATTTAGGCATTGGGTTTAGTTTGTTTAGCTATCATTGATATTGTAAAGTCGTTATTTCATAGATTTGGATGAGTTGGAGCCGAACTCGAGGGGTAAAGCTATACTAGAGGCTTGAGTTGACTTTGGAGCAATTGAGGTAAGTGTTTGGTTTAACCCTAGCTTGAGGGAATAGGAGTAGAGTCTTATTTGCTAATTACTATTTGTCGAGTACGGTGTATAGGCATGGTGACGAGTATCTATACACTGGTGTCGAGCATGATGTGAGTCCTGAATTGCTAAATTATCGAATTCTTAATTGTTGTTTATGAGGACTTGGTTGGAAATCTTTAACACCGAGCCAGTAATTGTTGAGACTGAGTATTGATTCAATTGTGTTAAGTAGAAATTGAATAAGTTTGGTTATAGCTGGATCTCCCTTGCCGGGATAGTTTATTATAATATCTTGTTCCCTTGCCGGGATAGTTTATTATAACATCTTTCTCCCTTGCCAGGATTATATTGTGTATGGTGTTGAAAGAAATGGGATCGTGTGGCACGCCGACCACGAGATATTATGAAATGGGATCGTGTGGCACGCCGACCACAAAATATTATGAAATGGGATCGTGTGGCACGCCGACCACAAGATATTATGTACGCCGACCACGAGATATTATGAAATGGGATCGAGTGGTACGCCAACCACGAGATATTATGAAGTGGGATCGAGTGGTACGCCTACCACGTGACATTATGAAATGGGATCGAGTGGTACGCCTACCACGTGATATGAGGAAATGGGATCGTGTTGCACGCCTGCAACGAGAGGAAATTGAAATAAGTGAAAGTGGTTTGTCTTCCCCTTATTATGTGTTAGAAGGAATCAGATGTAGTTTCTTTGTTATTCCTGATGTTCTATTTTAACTGCTACCCCAGAAGCATGTTCCCCCTCCCAGCTTTAATTGTTTACTTTCCGTTATTATTTTGTTGTACTTGTATATATATATCTGTACAGGTTTATCTGGTAGTCTGGTCTAGCCTCGTCGCTAGCTACTTCGCCGGGGTTAGGCTGGGCACTTACCAGCACATGGGGTCGGTTGTGCTGATGCTACACTTCTGTGCTCTTTGCACAGATCACGGTACCGAAGTAGCTTTTGGACCACAGCAGTAGTTGATTGGGAGCTGACTTCAGTCCAGGGACTTTCGAGGTAGCCTAGCTGGCGTCCGCAGGCCGGAGTCCCTTCTATGTTATTAGTTTGTTTTCCTTGTACCGAGACAATCATTGATGTACTTCTATTCAGACTTGTTTTTAGCACTCTTTAGTAGTTCGTGAGTTAGCGGCACCAGTCTTGGGTAGAGAAATATTAAACTTCCGCATTTTGGGTTTTCAGTTATCTATGTTTTAAAGACTTCCGCTTTTATTTAAATGACTCGTATTATTATATTTTTTGGGGTGTTAACAGAAAATATTTAAATGCTTGGCTTGCCTAGCTTCGACAGTAGGCGCCATCACGACTCCCGATGGAGGAAAATCCGGATCGTGACAATCTGACTCTACCAAAAGCCAGCAATTATGACATGCATTAAGCTATGAAATTACGGAGCACTGAAACTAAAGTAAACAGCAAGTGATCTACTGCAGCAGAACAATCACTATTGTTCTGTTGCATTTTTTCTGTTGCATTTTAGTATCAGTCACTATTATTCTGCAGCAAGTGATCCCTATTATACTGCAGCAAAATAGTCACTATTAATCACCAAGTTATATTGTACCAGTCAAGTCCTTTACTTCCATATTATTCTGTTGCATTTTTTTGAATTAGTAATTCTGTAACATTGCTAAACCAAACATGTAAAATCAAAGCCAATAAACAGTGTAGTTTGCAGTTCAAGGTGCAAAAATTAAACTGGGAAAAGCACTCTTCAGCGGATATGAATCAGATTGCACTATGCACTTACCAGTTCATAAATAATTTCTCTAATCCGCTTGCTACCCGTATGATGAGGCATTCTCAACTTAGACCTATTGATCGAGTTTCTAATACTTGTTTCCTACATTAAGAACAAACCATTGAAATCATGAACTGTTACTTACAATAATAAGAAGTTAAAAAGTAGTTATGAAGTCTTACCTTAAATTTTTCACTTAAAAAATGTTCCTTGACCAACCATTCCCAATCGCTCTTGTCTACCTCCTTCGGAACATCTTTTAGAGCTTCATGCAATGGCTTAAACTTCACATACCTGTGCAGTGATCCTCTCCAATTGGTCCATAACTTTTTCATATGGCTTAAGACATGATCTCTTTGATGATTCATGTCCTCAGTGTCAAATTTGTCCAACAATATTTTGCAAAATCATCAATCAACAAAGGAAAGGACTTGAAAATTATCAAAAAGGCAAATTAGTAATGCAACTACTTTGCCATGAATTAATAATATAAACTAAATATGTATTGTAGGTTAAATCTCACGGTACCTGGCCAAAAAACATGAGGACTATTAAGATAAACACTTTTTAATGGTAGGTTGGTGAGTTGTTTTAGTTCAAGTCAACACCGAAAATGCAGGATATTTAATATGACATAAAATGGAGGCCAACTCAAAGATTTTTGGGAATGGTAACAATTGTATTAACAAAAATGCACTAAGGCAGTGCATAACCATATGTACAGGGTCAACTCAAAGATTTTGATAGTATGATATGTTCCTATATTTATTCTTTTAGCATTTACCCTCTACAACTTCTGAAAGATTGTCCTGGAGATCTTTCATTTAACGTTCTCTGTTAACTGTCTGAAGGAGCGAAGGAGATAATGCAAGAAAAGAAAAGCTACAAGCGACTGTTGAGATAATAACAGATCCTGCCACCCAAGGCCCATAAGAAGTATCTTCCATTCTTTTCCCCCTACTTCTTACTTCTCTTTCCTCCCGATTCCGCAGCTCCTTCTTCTCCCATGTACCTTATGTTGATTACAACCCATAAGCAAAGTTTATGCAAAGGTACTAAACACTTATAGAATAGGACTAGATTTGTCATTTGTGCAATATACACAAATATTATGAGTAGCCATGATCTTTGTTTCTAAAGTATAAATCTCTCTTGTATGACCATCTGTACCATCAAATAAAAGACTGGTAAAAGAGCAGACTGATTTGTCAGCAAAAGTCGAAAGATAGAGAACAACTCAGATTATATGAAGTTGCTTGTGGCTAAGCTAGAAATGTGAGATAAGAACCAGTAGTAAATGAAAGTGAATTAGCATTGTATAGCAGCTCGTTGCAAAATTCTCAGCTTTTTGCGAGGGGAACAAATGAGGAGTAAGAAGAACTAGAGGAGGCGAGGGGTCTAATAGAGCTGTCTGTCTCTTTGTTCTCTTCTATTATTTTACAATTAGCCATTTAACAGAATTTACAGAAGAGCTTTTCCAGGGAAAATGTTAAAAGAGTTTGAAGGGGATATTAATTTGGTAAATGTACATAGTAGCAAAAAGCTATTTAGGGCTCGCCATAAAATCTACAAAGGCAATTAATGTGTTAAACATCTGTTTATAGAATAGATCCATCGTAAAGCTTCTTTACAAAGCATTGTAAAACATCTGTTAGTGATTTCGAGGCCTAATGTTTCTCAGACATGAAGCTCTTAAAAGCCCCTTGTTAGTCAACGTTTGCAACCAATCTTTCACCTGGATCAAGTACCCTTTTGTAAACAGAACTAAAGCTACCATTCCCAATCAAATTAGCAGAAGAGAATCCATTTGTTGCTCTAAATAAGTTCTCATAAGTAACTCTCAAAAGAAACCCCCATGTAGGTGAAGATATTAAAGACCGACTCTTTCTTGGCCTTTCTTAACCGAAAGATTATGACTAAAGACATTATCAAGACCGCTGCTAGAAGTCCAGAAAGTAGAGGGATCATTAACTTAATGCTGCTGGATTTATCTCTTCCCTTAGGTTCAGTGTTTGGACATGTTGGCAACTTCAATTCTGGTATACCTCCGCAAAGGTTCTTATTCCTAGATATGAAGGTCACTGCTATTTCCCTAAAAGCGATAATCTTGAGCTCATGATTGAAAAGCCTTCAGTTTTCTTCTAACTTGCTTTTATAACAATATATTACTTTTGTTCTCTCTTATTCCAACTTCATTAATTTACCAAGTACTGCTAGAAGGTTTCTTAATGTGATAGGTTCAGACTGCTACATTTGGTGTTAGGATTATTTAACATTAAATTCATAATAAAATCAGCACCTATTTGATGCTAGTGAGGTCTGCAGATGTAAGATGTATAAGGTCACGCCATTGAATGCTCAAGAATCAATTGGACTCTTCAGTTGGTATGCTTTTGGAAAAGAACAACCTTCAGAAGATCACAAGGACCTTTCAGAAAATGTGATACTTCATTGTAAAGGGATTCCTTTGGCTCTCAATGTTTTAGGTTCTTCTCTTTGTGACAGAAGTATAGAGGTGTGGGAATGTGCATTAAGGAAACTAAAGGCAATCCCTGACAATAAGATCCTGGAAAAACTCAGAATCAGCTATGATTTACTGCCAGATGATGATGTGCAGAATTTATTCCTCGATATTGTCTGTTTCTTTGTTGGAAAGGATAAAGATTATACAGTTACAATACTTGATGGGTGTGGTTTTTACTCAGTAGTACGACTTGAGATTCTTTCAGATAGATATCTGATCGAAATGGACAAAGATAAGCTGAAAGTGGATTCATTGATTAAAGATATGGGAAGAGAGCAAAGTCAGACAAAGAAGAGACTAAAGCAGGTTATTCACCTAAACCAAATTAAAACATGTGACTTCCCCCTCAATCTCCTGGTTAAAAGTATTGCTCAGAGCTTTTAATTAATCACCACAGGTTGGTGATGATTTATCATGGAAAACTTCAACAATATTTATATGTTTACAATTCATAGATTATGATAAGATGAAAGTTCTTTTGAGCCAATTCATATAACCAGAGGTCTACTACATAAACGAACTAAAATATGCTAACTTTAGTTGACTGAATAATGTGACTTTAAATTCACACAGAACATGCATAAAGCATTTTACCAAAACAGGTAAGTGGCATCTCTGACTTAGCAGATCTTAATTATTGTATAGTTATTTTCTAGATTTCCTTAGCAAAGACGATCATCTCTTTCAAGATGAAGAAGATGTAAAGAACAAAACTAAACTAATCCCACTCGTCAACTACATTAACCAATTAAAACACTGCTGGAACAAGAAAGAAGAGAAAGATTATGGACTTGAAGAACTAAGGAACATCACATCTAAACACATATTGTTACAAATTAAGAGGCAAATTTAATTCCTACAAGCATGTTTGATTCTTAAATCTTAATCTTCCAGCAAGCAAACAAATAGCAGAGGTACTACAAATCCAATAATTCTAAGAAGAAATCCAATATTTGAAAAGCAGAGAGATAAAAAAAAAAAAAAAAGGCGCGATTTCACAATAGTTATTACTACAAGTTTAGCGACATAGATTCACCATTATAACTTGACGGACGAAAATAGGGAAAGTATAGATAGAGTGACGGAGAGAGAACAGAGGGAGGAGATCGGAAAAGAAGCCAACAAAAAGAGACGAAAAAGCAGAAGGAAAACTCATCCAAATATCATCCAAGCCCATCGTTACCCTCTCTCAAAAATCCCAACACCTAATTTCATCTTTTCTCTTCCTATCGATTAAACTCATCCCAAACCCAGTTGTTTTTCTGGACAAAATCAGCCCAACATTAGCTCCAAATAATCCCAAAACAACCCCAAAATGCAATAGTAAAACGAAAACTAAAACCCAGAAAAACTAGCTCCAAAATGCCACCAACATTTCAGCCGAAAACTCCATGAAAACAAGTTGAAAATCAGTCCAAAACATAAAACAACAACATTAAAGGGTAGTTATAACTTGAGTTTACCTTGACGAGAAGGAGAACAGAATCCTATTAGCGTTGACACAGATTCACTAGAGAAGACAGATTATAAGCTACGTCCAGAAGCCCAAATTTTTTTGTGATTATCTGTTGAGTTCTGCTCTGCTCTGTATATATAGTGTTAATTTCAGAACTTCTTCGCCGATCGAGTAGTGGCCAATTGCAGCGAGAGCCCTATTTGTTCGTGATTCTTTGCCTCTTCTTTGCTGAAGTTGTTGTGCATGTTTTGGGATAGCATTTTAGGCGAGAGATTGTAGGGTTTTTTTGATAATTTGGGGGTAATGTGCGGATAGTTGGTTGTGAAAATAAAGGAGGGAAAAATTAGCGCTTGTTTTTCATTTTTATTTAGATTTAACGACGGGATTGACACAATTTGAAGGACCACAAATAATTCCCTCGTAAAAATTACAGTAAAAAATAACTTTAACGACCAGAATAAATGTTGGCCGCTATAAGTACACATATAACGACTGGATTAATTTCCTTTCGTGAAGAAATGGTCGTTAATGATCTCTTTTCTTGTAGTGATATTTCTGCCATAGATCCCTTACTTACCTGCAAGTTCAAACCATTAGATTGAGTTGGGGTAATTAATCCTTGCTCCTGATTCTCTGCAGCTGCTTGTATCCGAGATCCTGCAGCACTTCCAAAGGCAATAATTGGTAAGTTTTTGGGTCGTCCACACCCTCGTCCCTTTCCCATCGGCATGTCAAACCCTACTGGCGAACGTTAACTTGCATGCGCCGAGAGCATGGAGAAGAGAAGGTTATTTCTGGCGTACGTTAACTTGCACGCGCCGAGAGCATGGAGAAGAGAAGGTTATTTCGCAAAGTTGTTTTCCTCTAGTGTTTGAAGCCATCAACTGCACGACTATCACATTGGTACCTAAAACGGCAAATCCTACAACAATGAAGGAGTATAGGCCTATCGCATGTTGCACTGTCCTACACAAATTGATCTCCAGGATTTTGGCCAATAGATTCCAACGAGTCATAGCAGCTTTCATATGTGATGCTCAGGCTGCTTTCATTCCTGGTAGAAAGATAGCCGATAACATTATATTGGCGCATGAACTGATCAAAGGATACACTAGGAAAAACATCTCACCAAGGAAAGATGGATACACTAGGAAAAACATCTCACCAAGGAAAGATGGATCTTCAAAAGGCATATGATTCTGTTGAATGGTGCTATTTAGAGCAAGTGATGGTGGAAATGGGCTTCCCTACCAAATTTATTGCTTGGGTAATGGAATGCGTGAAAACTGTCAACTCTACCATAATGATAAACGGGCAACCCACAGAAAGAAGTTAAAAGGGTTCAATATATAGTATATATACACCTATTCATACAATGTAATTTTCTAGCAAAGGTTGACACCCCTTACATAAATGTAGCTTCGCCACTACCCATTCCCCAGGAATTGAAATGCAAGAAAGGTTCTTTATTTTTTCTTCCCCCTCAAAAAGAAAATAGCGAAGGGATAATCAACCCTTTATATTTGAACTCAATCTCAGACTACAGCAATATGGAAACAATGGAGAAGATTTCAAACAAGTGAAATTGTGATCTCCAAGAACGAAACTAGTAATTATAACTGTAAAGTTATATCTGAAAGCTTTATTGATGCGAGACAAACTTAGCTAGGAAAACTTGAGGCTGAGTGGTAACATATTATCCACTCTTGTTTAAAGTTTAATCAAGGTGTCAAATATGTCCGTAAGTTTCAATGGTTCGGCTCTCCATTCTCTCGTTTAATTCTTACTAAGCTCTCCTTAAAAAAATGGACGGTACGGCCCTCTTTGGTAAACAACCTCAGGCCTATATGACGAAATCCAAGATTCCTCATGGTCAGAGTCCTGACATCATAGGAGAATAGGCGGCAACGTCTATCTATAAAAATGAGAGTGCTAGAATACCAAGACATTATATACGAAGGGGTTTTAACGGTAAATTGTTTGATCCAAACACCCGGTTGGATCATTACCCATATATCATAAACAAATCCTGCAACTTCGGTCATGAGGGCAATGAAGTCATCAAGCAATACCAGTCTCACATTGAAGTGATTGAAAGCGCGCCCAACATCTGGACCTCCGATCTCTGCAAACACCTCATTGCTAAAGTCAAATGAAAGAATGCTACAATCATCAAAATTATAAAACCCACCACATAGCAGCCAATAATAAGTTCCATTTAAATAAGCAGTACCAACGGCTTCTGCGCAGAATTCATGTACGAGATTTGCAGGTTCAAGGACTCTCCACGAATCCCTTGAACAAGAATAGATTGCTGCATATTGTGAAGTATTTTGATTTCTGTCATCATCCCAGAAGGACCGAAATCAAACAACCTTGTAGTCATTAGTTATGGGGTCTAATCCGAACCCAAACTGACGGTCCATTTGTGTGAAAGATGGTTTAAGCTCGAAGTTGGCTGCAGGAAGGGGCCTCACTTCCCTGGTGGCAGGATTCCACAATGACAAGGAGATGTCGTATATGCTGTCATCAATTTCTCGCTCCAACAAAAATAAGCCATCCACGGAACCTAAAAGGTACGTCATACCTCTAAAGCCCCGGAGATAATCGAGGGGATATTTAATTGCACCAGCATCTGAAACCGAAATAAAATAGATTGGAGGGGCGTAATCTGGGGCACTATGATTATAAATCAAGATTTGAGGGGATTTCCGATTCATGTGTTCTTTGACGAAGATAGGGCTTGTAATTGTTTCGTACCAGGATTTGCCGACGCATTTGAATCGCAACAAGGATTTGACCGGCAACCTGGTTAGAATCTCCATTGCTACATCTTCAGGGAAAGGCCGACCATCATTATCACTGGTGGCCATATTAGAACAGAAAACAGAGAGATAATACTTAATCGTGAAGAAAAGAAACCGATGAAGAAAGGCAAATCAGTAGAATGAATTGATTGAGTGAATTAGGCACTTCTTCTTCAATACATTCCCCAATTTTTTAGACTTTAATTTTTTTACTATAATTACTAAGGAGAAATTTAAAAATAGCCCAATTTCAAAAGTAATTAAAATTTAACCACTTTTCATATAAAAATAAATTTGAGCTAAAACACTTTTCAAAACCCAAAATATACGCTAGTATATTATACTGGAGTTCCAGCATAAGTATGCTTGAACTCCAACATATTATACTGGAGTTCCAGGATAACTATGCTGGAACTCCAGCATAATATGATGGAGTTCCAGCATAAGTACACTAGAAGTCCAGCATAATATATTGGAGTTCCAGCAAGTATAATTGTTCAGTATAATATACTGGAGTTTGGAGCATCGGTGCTCCAGTCTCCGGTATATTATACTGGATTCAGCAAGGTATATCGGTCCAGCATACAGGTGCACCGAACTCCAGAATATTATGTTGGACCGGTCTCTGTTGAAGCAGAATAGTGGCTATTTTTCATTGACTTCGTAAACGCAGGCTATTTTTGAATGACCAGTCCGAAAACTGGTTATACCATGCTATTTTTACTAATTACTACTGCAAGTATCTGATTACCTTAATTATAGGTAATCTAATTACCCTATTACTACCATTGAATTCTGCATTTATTTACAATTCTATTTATGGCGCCTTTAATTAATTCGTTTGCTTATTTCAGTATATTTATTTAAAAAAAATAATCTCATTTTGTAATATTTGGTTCTAATTAATGTCATACTATTCATTATTTTGTTTCCATCTGAATAAGGCGAAACCAGAGATATCATATTTACAAAATTGACTTTGTTTCTTTTTAAAAAACAAAAGTATCAGTTACTCATTCCCAAGTGTCTTTGGCTTTTTTTCTTAATCGTTACCTATATTACAAGTATTTTTGGATTTAGCTTGATATTGCATAGTTCGATTTACAAATTTTCCGTGCATTCATTCATTAAAAAAAAAGTCACTTATCCAAAGTTTGAACACTCTGTGTCACTCGCCATAGTAGTACAGAAAGAGAAACAAAGAGAGGCTGAGATAAAAATGACGAACAATTGCTTAATCGTGAAGGAAAAAAATGATTAAGAAAGCTAAATCAGTCGAAAGAATTGATTGAGTGAATTACTGGTACTTCCTCTTTAGTACATTCCCCATTTTTTTAGACTTCAATTTTTCATTTAATTACTACTATAATCTGATTACCTTATTAATCTTATTAAATAATTGTACCATTAAATTTTGCATTATAGTTGGGCGCTTAGGAGTGATTTAGTATTAATTCCCAGTTCTACTTATTCAGACTTTTCGATTAACTCAAAATTAACTATTAAATTTTATATTTAATATTGCTATATTATCTCATGAATTGTCCAATTTAGAACAACAATTAACGCACTCTCATACTTTCATAAGACTACGCCAAACTACTAAAAAAACATCTTTATTTGGGGAAAGGGTGAAATTTGCTCATGTACTATCAACTTTATCCTTCCTTGCATTTTTACTCTAATCTTACCTAGTCGTTATGAAAAAGTTTTGACGATTATGACTTGGTTCTAATATAATGGAAGGTAAATTTGATCAATCTCGTATAGTTCATAGATATGGTTGACCATTTTACCTTTAAAATAACTAAAACTAAAGATTAGAACTATAGAAAGTGAACAATGCAGGGGAGAAGTTACACTAACATACATAATGTTGTGGAGTTTGATAAAGTTATTTCTAACCGCAGTGTTTTGTTGTGCGGTTCAATGCAATGTGCTATTAGGCGTGCGATTAGCCAAAAAGCTAAATTTGCTACCTTGTTCTTCGACAATCTCGTGAAAAGTTGATAAGAACTGCATTTTCTTTTCTATTCCTCTTTTGTAGTCTTGTTTATTTTCTCGTCGAAAAGACAGAACAGTTTAAAATAAAATTCTGATGAGCTACTTTTGCCTCTCTTTCAGTTTGTGAATTGACAAGAAAACTTATAGATACAGATTTTCCACACTGCAGAGGAAGAATACACTTCAAAAAGGATCTACTTAACTAGCAAAGGAGCATTTCATCGTACTTTCCCACTCCAACAGAGGTCTTTCCAGTAAAAGGAGGTTGTATTACATAGTTCGAGTTGAAAACAAAAAATATTGCTATGCATCATTCATTTTACTTTTCGGCCGTGTCTCCGTGGGACAATTGAGATTTTTGTGGGTTTAGCTCAACCCGCCTTATTGCCACAAAACCAAGAAAGCCAATTAGAAACGAGCATTTCTGTGCTGCACATTAACTTAGCAAAGAGCAATATTTTTGCAGTCAATGAGGTACAATCAATAGAGAGAATGGATATCGACTTGGGACAAGGTACAAATCATTAGAAATCCAGATAAAGGGCAATCTGGTGCACTAAGCTCCCGCTGTACGAGGGGTCTGGGGAAGGGCCGGACCATATATGTATAAAAAGAGGCCATCCAGCTGGAAAATGCAATATCTTTCCTTCGGAGGGAGGTTGGTTTTAAGTAATAGTGTTCTAGACTCATTACAAATACAATGTCAAGTTCTCAAAGTTGAAAAAGTTCTGGACAAACTAAGAAGAGATTTTCTTTGGAGAGGAAGGAAGTAGCGAAGCAAAGAGGATATCCGTTGGTTAGCTAAGTTGCTAGGACTTGGGCGCTGGTGTCTGATACGGGTGCGACTCTAGAGGTCGGATCCTTCATGATCCAAATTTCAAGATTCGGGAGTAGGAAATTAAATACGGATATGGGTGCAAGGATTCGGCTAAAAAGAGTTCAAATATCTAATAAAAATATATCTAAATTATGAGACATCATTTATAAGGTATTTCGAGAAGGCAAAAAATTGATCAAGAGGAGAATCCAGAAAGGAGATAAAAAAGAAAAGTACTGACATAGATATTTCCATATACAAGGTGTTCCATTTTCTTCAATATAATTTCACTCTAACTTTTCTTTTGATTTCAGAAATCATTGTATCTATCCTGAATTTCTACTTCGCTTTTGGTCAAAGTACCCAAAATCAGTTGACCAGATCCAGTGCGATCCCACGCCCACACCCGCACCCACATCATATCGACACGGGTGCATCATCGAAAGCGAAGAGCCCGAGCACTTAGTTGGTTAGATGGAGCACAGTTATGAAAAGAAAATGGGAGGATGAGAGTAAGGAACTTGAGGGCAAACAACAAAGCGTTTACTACTCAAAATGGCACTGGAGGTTAAATCTACCTGGAATTGCTTTTATGTAAATCAGTTGTTACTGCAAAATACAGATCAACAAATCCAGTGGTGCACATATTCAAGTGCTGGGAACAGCGTATGAAAGCACATAATTAAGAACCTCTTTGAAACCAGAATCAAAATCAATCTTGGTGGACTGGCAATAAGACCTCTTTCTAGCATGACAAATATACTGGATGTGAATATTGAGAAGACACAAGGTGTTATCATGCACAAGAACTTGTTGCAAATGGCACATTATCTAAACACCATTCCAGCAGTTGAAGTCCGCTTAGTGCAAATGTACTGGTTGAACTGCCCTCAGTTTCAAAAGAATCCAGTGGTGCCTTTGTCTTGGGTACAATACTTTTCGTGTAAAATCTATATCGTTACTAGCCAATACTGATAATGAAACAGTGGAAAAAGATGATCCTAATTTCAAAACCAGAACTAAAATCATACTCACTGTAACCAATCGGCTCCTCGGTGTTTTGTTGTGTGGTTCAATGCAACATGCTATTAGGCGCACGTTGGACAAGAAGCATAAGGACATCCATCTAGATCATTTCCACACCAGTTAACACTTATGTTCTCCAATCCCAAACACATATACAAAAGAACAGACATAAATGCCAGACCAGCATCAAGTGCACCAGAAAGAACATAGTTATGTCGCTGCCACCAATCTGGCCTATATCAATAAACAACATACCCCGACAAGAACCCTACAATAATCCATGTGTAGTTCACAGCCGTGGCCGGTGGCATCATCCCTGTAGCTCCTGCCAACACTGGCATGTTAATGAGTTTGATCCATTCTTGCTTAGGGAAAGCCCTGGCTGCTAACCATACAACAACTGGCGCAGTAGCACCAAATAAGAAGAACCAATTGACCATTCCATAAGTTACTAAATCTCGAAAAATCCTTCTTGGCTCAATCAAACCCCATATCACTGATGCATCATAGAATATATGATCTGAAGGACAAGTCCACACGGTGTTGGTCAATGTTTTGTTGCATATGTCTGGAATTGTTTCCATTAACCACCATGCAGTTCCCAAATAAAAGAACCCTGCTATTAGAGTCCCTACTATCTGCATTGTCCATTTTCTATGATTGTAAGCATATATATAAAGACACTTAACGTGCAACGAGGGTAAAATTAATTAATTAATGAACGAACTAAACCCATGGTCCCTACAGTCTGCATTGTCCATTTTCTATGATTGTAATCCCATATATAAAGACACTCAACTTGCATCGAGAGTAAATTTAATCAATCAACTAATGAGTTCTATCCTGAACTAGCAGAGATCGACTGTATGAATCATTTGAATTCTTTCTACTGTGTTCGGAAAATTAACTGACAAAGTGAGTAGTTTACCTGAGCCAAAAACATTGTTCTTTGGTGGAGTTTTCCATAATGACCGAGCTTGAAATCTTGGAGGAAAGTAATAGCTTGGTAACATCCAACCCTGGTGTCTAACAATGTCAAGAATATCAAAAGACACATATGGGAATTAGCGTATTAGCAAAGTAACTATGCATATATATGTGATTACCTGGTTGGTAATTGCAGTGATGATTCCGCTAGGAAGTGTAAAGAAAATGGCAATGACACAAGCTAGAATAACTCCCCACCAAGGTAAACTGAAGTTGCTCGTTGTAATATTCACAAGCAAAGACAGTGAGGGTAATGTTTGCCACAAGAATGCCCCAAAACCACCATTCAGGTACTTGCTCATTAGTTTAGTGTGTATGTCCATTTTCTTCTCTTTGAAGCTTGATTTGTTTTTCTCCCATATTTCCTTGAAATCCAAAAATCCTCATGACATAACTTTCCACATAACACATATAACATCTACCAATTAATAACTAATTTGTTACTACTAATTAATGTACCTTCTGTGAAATAAAAGGACGTGCATTACAGTAGCGCAGAGAGAAGCAAAGCCAACTCCATAAGTAATTAATAACGAAAATGTACAAAAGATAAAGATATCCTTGTTGCTCATAGGCAGCAATGTCAAGATGGAAATTAGAGTCAATGATACTTGATATGTTGTAAGCTTGGCCAGAGGAAGTGCAGAGTCCAGAAGAGAAAAGAGGGAATGTTTTGGCTTTGAAAACATCTAACTAGTAACATATTGGAGTCTAAATATACATAATGAAGAAGAATCCAACAGCAACATTAGCAGTAGCAAACCAAGGACTAGCTAATAATGGGCTTCCTAGGTACGAGGAAATAGAGGACCAGTCCAGGCCTTATATTTCTTTGTTCACACACCCTTCTCACCACCCTGTATTTGAGATTTCACGCAACTTCAGGCTACCAAGTAAATAAACTATAACTCTTTTTGTTATTTTACATAAAGTATAGCTCTATTCATGGATAATGACACATTTCATCTAACGCGTAATCTTTGTCCAAATTTTGATACAATTTCAACCTTTCATGATATCAATATCATCAGGCCAAGTCTGGGCAAAGATCTAAAGACAACAATTACATTCTTTGTACATGTACACAGTTACAGCAATCAGTAAAATTTGAACAGGTTAAAGAATAAGTGAATGCTTGAGAATTGATGTAATTCCAAGTAATGAGTGCCTCAACTTTGAAGGTGAAAAAGGGGCAAAGGATACACGGTGTATAGGATTTCATGAACCTATTGTATGCATTCTAAAATTCAAACATAGTCTATTCTCTATAAATATAAAAGACGATAAGTGTTTAACATATCATCCGCTCATGTCTAAGCACAATCAAGGAGTTAATAGGTCTGGTAAGCTGCTACCATCCAACTCTCCATTCCCTCGTTTGATTGTTACTAAGCTCTCCTTGTAAAAATGAACCGAACAACCACTATAGTCATTTCTCCTAAGGCCCGGATGACGAAATCCAAGGCGCCTCGTCTCCTGGGTCGAGACACCATAGGAGAGCAGGCGACAACGATTGCTACCGAAAATGACCGTGTAAGGATTCCAAGACTTAATATATGGAAAATATACAGAGGATTGAAACGTAATCATTTTATTCCAAGCCCCAGGTTGGATCATTACCCATATGTCATGTTCAAATCTGTCCCAATCAGCTACGCTAAAGAGGGCAAGGGAGTCATCAAGCAATATCAGTTTCAGATGCCAATGATTGAAAGGGCGCGGAGCATCTGGCCCTTCAATCTCTGTAAACACCTCATTGCCAAAGTCAAAGGAAAGAATGCTACAGTTACATATTTCACACTTCAGCAGCCAGTAATAAGCTCCATTCAGATAAGCAGTACCAAGGGCTTCTATACAATGTTTAATTAGGAGGATGTCTTTAAGTAGGACGATGTCAGCGTTTTCAGGTTGAAGGATTCTCCATGAGTCCTTAGAATATGAATAGACGGCTGCATAAGGTTGATCGACAAAAAAATTTATGATTTTTTCCCAGAAGATCCGAAACCAAATAACCTTGTAGTCATTAGTCATAAGGTTTAATCCGAACCCAAACTGACGTCGATATTGCCTGAAAGATGATGGAAGATTGAAACCGGGTAAAGGAAGGGACCTCACTTCCCTGGTGGCAGGATTCCACAAAGCTAAGAAGATGTTGAATATGCTGCCATCAATTACTCGCTCCAATAAAAACAAGCCATCCACAGAACCTAAAAGGTGCGTCATACCTATGAATTCCTGAAGATAATCAGGATTTTCAGGTACGCCAACAGTATCTGAGACCGAAATCAAAGTGATGGGATTGGGATTGAGAGGAGAATCATCATTTGAGGGGCATCCAACATGATCATAAATCATGATTTTCGGGGACTTTCTGCTCCAATTCATGTGTTCTTCGATGAAGCTAGGGCTCGTAATTGTTTCGTACCAGTACTTGCCGACGCATTTGAATCGCAACAAAGATTCGACCGGCAACCTGATTAGAATCTCCATTGCTAGATCTTCAGGAAAAGGCCGGCCATCATTATCACTGACCTGGTGGCCATATTAGAACAGATAACAGAGAGATTAAAATGATGGTGAAAATACTTATACTTTAACACTCTCTTTGGATCATTGTTAGCTATTTAGATTGTATCCTTTGGTGGTGTTAAACAATATTTTTATTATTTGGTTTGACTGTATTGTATTTACTGCACTGCTATATTTACTAAAATACCCTTAATTATTTTAAATACGATGCTTGTTAAGAACTACTCATAAAAATAATTTATTTATTTGACCTTCCGATCTTCTCACAGGGAATCACCATTCTACCATAGTAACGAAAGCACCAAACTAGTGTCATACAAAAAAAAAAAGTTATAGCCCCATCAAAATAGAGAACAACGGATTGTTTATTGCTTATTATATAAATAAAAACCAGTGGATTTACTAAAAAAAATAATAGAGAACAACGGACCTTCTGTTCCTATAGTTTGGAATGGTAGAAGCCTAAGTAAATTAATATGTAATTATAATTAGCAAAAAAGTTTGCAAAGATTATAGAAGAGATAAAAATACAGAAAAAAAAGAAAAGGAAAACTAACCAAAAAAATAAACGGAAGAAGGACGGAGACAAAGTACGTAGTTGGTGAAGTATAAATAATAGGGTAAAGGTTAAAATTGAAATATAGAACAATTAGTGGGGGCGTAATTGGAAAGAAAAATACGGAACAATCCCACCACACCGATTTGGTTGTTTCATAAAATGGGGCTTTTTATTGTTCCGGAACAATGAATTTAACAATACAGTACAATCAGTTTTCGATGAACAATCAAAACAANTGGGCTGACCAATGCCCCAGCAGCGTTCATGCATTTGATGAACAGTGTATTTCGGCGTTATCTGGATTCGTTCGATATGTTTTTATTGATGATATTCTAGTGTACTCGCGTAGTCAGGAGGAGCACGTGCAGCATTTGTGAGTTGTATTGCAGAGATTGAGGGAGGAGAAACTGTATGCAAAGTTCTCCAAGTGTGAGTTCTGGCTCAGTTCAGTGGCTTTCTTGGGGCACGGGGTGTCCAGCGAGGGTATTCAGGTCGACCCGAAGAAGATAGAGGCGGTTCAGAGTTGGCGCAGACTGACCTCAGCCACAGAGATTCGTAGTTTCCTTGGCTTGGCAGGTTATTATCGCCGGTTTGTTTAGGGATTTTCCTCTATTGCATCGCCCTTGACCAAGTTGACTCAGAAGGGTGCTCCATTTGTATGGTCGGACGAATGCGAGGAGAGCTTTCAGAAGCTCAAGACAGCTTTGACCACAGCTCCAGTATTGGTTTTGCCATTAGGGATTTGGTTGTTTCATAAAATGGGGCTTTTTATTGTTCCGGAACAATGAATTTAACAATACAGTACAATCAGTTTTCGATGAACAATCAAAACAAACATTGTATATGGGATAACAATACGATGCGTAACAACCATCCAAACAATACGTAAGTGTGAATAAAATATTGAGTGAATTACGGGGCACTTCCTCTTTAATATATTCCCCAGTTTTTAACACTTTAATAATTTTCTATAACTAGTATCTATGAACGTGCGTTGCACGTTAATAATGGCACGTGATGGTTTAAATATTAATTTATATGTAGGAATAGTAAAATTTATTAATGTAAAGAAAGTTTTATGTATAATAATACAACAATCATCTAAATGCTGAAAAATATTATTACATTAGCATAATAAATGAATTTAAAACAAAAGTACATCATCAAAACTTACACAAATAATTCATGTTAGTTAGATAATTATGTATTACTTCCTCTGGTCCACTTTAAGTGATTTTTTGGTTGCTTTCGCATATAATAAGGAATCCACCTTTTTAACATTAATTAATAATGTAATTAACCATATTAACCTTAAGGTGGACCAGAGGGAGTATAGTTTAAAAGTATTTAATATGATGGTATCTTACTGAACACTTCTTTGTGGACGAAATTTTTGTGTGTGTATGTTTCCTCCTAATGTTTGGTTGCTCTGCCTTAATCAGAACTCTGGTTGTCGATCATGAATCCCTCTTGAAAGTGTAGCATACAGTTGTTCATGTAAAACAACATACTGCGGTAAATATAGTTCAATATTTAGGATGTTTGTCATTGTGCTTTATTTATTATATTTGCAAAACATAAACATACTAAAAATAATTTCATACAAATTTAAAAAGATATTCCTTAGTTTAGGTTGACCAGTATCATAAATTTTGCATGTATGACGTTATTGTAAAAATTCTATATACCATCTATGTGTTATTACAAAAGTTATTTAGCTTATCTAAGTTTTTCAGTAGCATGACAGACATATTTTCAAAATCAACCTATATACAATGGAAGATCAATTTTGACTTAGTCTATTATTCATACAGTGACACTAACATAAGAAGAAATAATAAACTTGACAACAAACATGTATGGTAGAAGGCCATTTGATATTAAAGTATTTAAGTATTATTCTTGGTAGTAATTATTGGTATTATTTTCTGTTGAGTAAAAAACTGAAAAATATTTTGTTTTTACTATAAAATTTTGCAACCAACCTTTTATTTAGTTGATCAATATATTCATTTCTGTTAGCTAAGATTGCTTTTTAATTCTAGCATGCGATTTGTGCAAATTGCATTTTGATCTAATGATAGAAATATTTCTCTTATTAAATGCACTACTATTATCATTGGGGTTGATAGCCAAGTATTCACGAAGAACCAAATATCTTTTATTGGATGTTCTCTTCGTTTCTGACTCGAAGCAGAAGCATT